TCTCCTAATCTATTGCTAGAGACATTGATTTTGATTGGGACTTTCCTAGAGAAGAGTAGTGCAGAAACATCAGCCATGTTCCGAACACTGATAGTTTCTGTCGATGGAGTTAAAAGTACCAGGCTAAGAGTTATGAGGGGAATGAACGTCCAAAGCTTGTCATTGGAAACGGCAGGTGGATGCCCATGGAGTATCATATGACACACACCACTTTCGAATGGTACAATTTATTTTCCCTATTTTGTTTGCTACACTTATAACTTGATTGATGTCAAATAATGGTTAGTGATTGGACACCCAAAAGCGTGAATGCAAGCTTCTTCCATAAATTGAATCATCCCTCTAGGAATGCAAATGCACTTAACAAAGCGAAAGTAAACTACAATCCAGTAGACATGAAAAACACCTTAGTCCATAGTGTCACCGTTGTCCATTGAAATGACGGGCTGTGATCTGTTTCACCCACCTATTTCCAACAATTTTATAGGACGAAAAGAAGAGGATAAACACCTATTTCCAACAATTTTATAGCACGAAAGGAAGAGGATAAAACCCCACCTATTTCCAACAATTTTATAAAACCCGGTCTGCTCATTGCACTTCCATCTGGTGCGATGCATAGAACTCATCTCCAACAACAACATAAGAATAGACATGTTGCCAATACGAGGGAGGACATTAACAGCTGACTAGTTCCTTCTATGTCTCATTTGTGAGGACTGAGAATACTGAGCCAGCTCCATTTTCAAGGCACTTCAAACAAATTAGTATCACGTATCAGATGCAAGCATATGAGGGTCCATGCCATTCCTCCATGCATCATGGCGCAAATAATGCTTAGCAAGATTTAATCATAAGGGCAAATTATCTTGTCAGCAATTGTAGAAGCATGCACTCCTAAAGCATGCAACTTCAATGCCCAACAAATACTTCAGGGTCCTGAGATCTTTGATGTCCAAAAATTATTCATATATCCTTCTGAGTTCTTGAGTGTGCATAAGATCATGACCCGTGATGATGAAGCCATCAACAGAGCTGTGATATGATTTTTTTCTCTTCTCTTTATAAACATGAGATATCCATCATAACTACCAATCGATCCAAGCGCCATCATTACTTGGTTAAACCTTTCAAAACAAACTGATAGGAATTGCCTAAGCCCATATATGACCTCTATATGACCTCATTCAATGCCTAAAAACCAGTGATGAAATGTCACTGAAAGACCTGTGGTATAGCCAGAGATGGTAGGTGGACACATCTTCCTAAGGCAGGGCCTCTTAGGGATATAAGCCAAAGAGAGCAACGCGCCAAGAGGAGGTGCACCAATTGCAGTCCTCAGCCTCCCCAACAAGCATAAGTCCAGGAGCTAGAAACCATAATGTTAAGGTTGATATGCAAGAAGGGCATTGCCAATAGCAACAAGCTGATTGAATTGTTCAAAACATTCATCTGAACTTCATCTCACTTCTGATCCAGGGTAAACTATTTTCGAAACAAAGACTTCCATCGGTAGTCATCGGAAGAAAGTCTCAAATATGGTCTATCGTAAATTGAGGATAACTAGCCTAACAGCAACAAAAGCATGTCAAAAGGAAAATCTCATCAACGACTGAGTTATATGGAGTTTAATATCCAGTATCTTTTAATAGAAAATTTTCATGGCACCATAAAATTACATAAAATTATGGCATTTATTCTCACTAACCCTCAATTATGGTGAAAAGAGTAATATATAGTGCGAGTAGGGAAAATTACCAAAACTGGCCATAACATAACACAAATCTAACTACATCTATTAGAAGTACGTGAATTGGATCATCCTCAAACAACATATAAGCATGAATTGTTTACAATCCTCATTAAACTGATGCTTTTAGTCTTTACAAACATGATGGTTATTTGAGCATTCAAATATATGTGAGGCAAACATTCCTCAGCATATTTTCCCTTATCAAGTGCCAATCAATCTTAATAATTAATATTTGAAAAAGAAAAAGAATATTTGGTTGTATTCATGTACAATAGCCAATTAGTGTAGAGGCCTGATATCTGAAAGAAGAATGCACAACAACACTATCTCGCTGGAGGATGTCGATGAAGCATTCTTTACCTCTTATGCAAAAGACTTTATCATTAAATTAATTTGCTGATAAATCAATATGTAACATGCAAAAATTCTCCTTTTGTGTTTATTTTCTTTGCTTCTCTTAGTGTTTTGAGCTTATATTACTTAATTTTTTTTTTACTTTTTGGGATTTATCCAATTTCTTATGAGTTCTCCATAGTTTCCACATTTCTCTACATGTATTGAATATGTTGTGTGTTTATAATTTCTCTACTAGTCATGCCCTTCCAAACTTAACAAGTGCATTCACCAAAAGTGAAAAGATAACTTCAATTGTTGGCTCCGTGATGGTATCCAGGTCAGAAGCCAATAAACTACGACGTAAATCCCCACCTCCTATCTTACACACGTACTGTGTGTGCTCTCTTTCTGATCCTAACAATTAAAAATTTAACCCAGACATCCATGGTCTTATCACAAGAAAGTAAGAAAACCTACATCCTCCACTTAGGCTAGGCGCACGGCGCATCTAATAGCTAACAAAAAAAATTGAACCACAGTCGTTAGACCCCAGACCAAATCTCCCTTGGTCATAGATAACAACAGTCAATAGCCTTCCTCCCCATGCATGAAGTAGAACTCATCTGTATGAATGCATAAACATAAACTGATGCCGGAAGACCCATGGATTGGCCATAATATCAATTTTAATACCAAAATGGGTAAACGAATACTGAATTTTAGGGCAAGTTTGGTACGTGTGAAAATACTTCCATGAAAAAGCTCCACTCGTGCGATTAGATGTGGGAGTTTTTTCACATTAGTTGGCTACCAATTGGTGTGAAAAAATGCGTTGGCAAAAATTTGTGTGGAAAAACTTCCACACCAAATCACATGAGTGAAGATTTTTTCACATAAAAATATTTCACGGAAGTATTTTCACGCGTACCAAACTTGCCCTAAAATTCAAGATTCAATAACCAAACGTGCCTTTAGTGTCTACGGTACAATTTGATCATTCACCCTTTCAATATTAATTAAAAAAAAAAGGTTCTAGACATAGTGCACTAAATGCATCCAATATTCCCACAAAAGCTGCTCCTCGAAGGGTATATAAAGAATAAGAAACAAATAGTTAGTCTTCAACATCCCACACTTGGGCTTTTAGAAAAAAAAAAGAATCCCATACATGGTCCAAAGTACTCACTCCCAAGAGATAACCATAACTACATCGGAACTTACTATCCCACTCCATCCCTACGAGATCTCACAGCAAATGAGAATCTAGTGAAAGTAGTGACAAGGCCCCACATGTCAATCACTAATCAAACACAAATTGAAACAGATAGGAAAATTTTCAATTGTCTAAGCCCCTACAAGGAGGAAGCATAACATGATCTCATAAGCTGATTCTGAAACTATGAACCGGCATTACTAAAGGAGGCAGGGTTTACAAGGAGGCAGGGTAAAAGTTCGAATACATTAAAGAAACTCAAAATATAAGGACTGAAGCATATCACAAGAAGAGAAACCGATCCACAAGTAAAAAGCCTGTCCGGAGTGACAGTTTCTTGTTCACAACGACCAAGTAGATAAAAAAATATCAAACTACCAACAACAATAATTAATCTGGGAATTTCAGATCACTTGTCACTTGACAAAAGCTACAATTTGCATTGGCACATGAGAGACAATAATTACATTCATACCTGGAGTCCCTTGTGTCGCATGTGCTTTCTGTTTGTACTCTTGTTCACAGGGTACTATGAATGAAGAATTTGGAGAATAAATCCCGGAACCACACTGAGGGTGCATATATCAAGATCTCGAAGTGAATTGAGAAACACAATACATTTACACATGAATTATTTAACAACAAGCTTGGATGGTTGTAGGCTCAGATTAATCAGCTGATTAGCACATTGCCTCATACTAACACTGTGCTTTTTAAAAAATTGGCAAGATTTTGGGGCTACCTTTGGGCTTTTGCTCTCCTCATTTAAACATGTAGGAATAAGGTTAATGAAAGGACCAAAGCATTACAGTGGATGGCAAAGTCAGGAAGGTAAGTTACATGCCAACCTTATTCAGCATCAATTACCTACAGTTCCATCAACTTGAACTCAAATTAAGTATGAGCAGTGAGAGATAGCTACCTCTCATTACTTCTTTTCTCCTCTAACCAGCCATGTCAAAAGAGAAGCTGCAGTAATAGAAAGAAAAGGACCAAAAAAAAACAAAGGAAACGTATACAATGAGACCATCTATTTTTTATACAAGGGGGTTACAATCATTATTAACCGTTACACTTGAAATCGGGTGGTTGAGGATGTGTCATTGTTTAGGCACAAAGTCCAAAACAAAATTTCTCGAATGTTGTAACATACATTCATCTATTGGATTTTGCATCTAATGGCTAAAAATGATCGTGACCTCCATACACCATAAATAAATCGTCTGATAGTATGCAATCCCAAAAAAGGCGCAAAAGGGCATACCAGAAATTCCAAGAAAAATAGTAGCATGATTAAGAGCATTGAAAATGGACAAAACCTTTCCAAGATGAAAGAAATAGCTATATTCCATCAATGGCAGGGACTTCCAAATGTTCTTCTCTTCAGTAAGCCCACAAAAAAAGGACTTATTTTCCCACAATTCTCCCGCCCCTCTTCCTTTTGGTGTTTACCGGCGACAAATCCAATCCACAGTGCATACACATGACAAAAAGTAAGAATTTGAAAGTTTTCTAAGACCCAAGGCACGTTGAAGGCCACGAGCTTTGAAGACTAACAACTATTGAATTATGCAAAGAGACTTGAGGAATGGGCTCGGTGCCCACACAAATTACTTATATTCATTTCAAGCCCTTTACCAGGTTTGCCAGAAAAACAAACAGATGAGAGACACGAATAACTCAATGAATTCGCAGTCAGAGATGAAGAAATAGGCAGAGAAGTATTAATTCAAAAACAATATTATGGAGTGATATGGGAAAAGTGAGTCAGTGACAGAAGATATATGCTGAATTTGAGAGCCCCTTTCATCGACAAGTTTCAGATCATCAAAACAATAAAAGGAAAAACCGAAAGATAAACCTTTGGCCAGTTTTGTGTTCCTTGAGATATCGAAGCGCTTTCAGACACAGGGCTCTAGCTAACTGCTTTATGGAAGATACAAATTACGCTGCACACACACCACGATGAATGAGTGAGTGGGATGGATGGCTGGCGCTCCTTGACAAAGAGGGATGGGATGAGGGAAGGAGGAGGAAGCCATATTTCTCGGAAATAAAGCATTGAAACATGAGGAAAGATGGAAACAGTAACCATTCATTTGGCGGCGATGCGGTCGAACTCATCTTCCCTGAGATGTGCAAAGAATTTGATGGGCTTGCTGATGCCTCCTTGTTCTTGTTGTTGGGAAGGGGAAAGGGCGAATTGGACTTTGTAAGGTAGGTTTGCAGAGATGCGATTCCCCTTCCAGAGGGCGACATAATCGGTAATCTCCCCTTCCATCCCGAGGAGATCTAGGTCGGGGATCTTGGGAACATGGTACACCTTAACAGGAACCTTCACCCTCACCTTGGCTCCTATCATCTTCTTCTTCTCTTCATCCTCCAACACCACCTCATCATCAGTTAAAGTAGCTGCTGTTGTAGTTGTTCGATGGGAGGAAGAGGAGGAGAAAAGGGGCCTCAGCCGCCTCCTCAAGTCCTGATGCAGGAGAGGCCCTGCAACTCCACAGCTTGTGGTGGTGGTGGTGGTGGAAGAAGAAGAAGAAGAAGGAATGAGTGATAGAGTCCTCTCACCTGCCCACAATACTGGGGCAGCACAGGACCAACAAACGCTCGCCATAACTCTCTGCTGTCCTGAGATATCTTACAATCAACGAATTTCGCTTTGATTTTTTAGTCTGTGTTTTGGTTGATGCAGCGCAGGGACGCCTCAATGTGCCTTTCTTCCCTTGGATAAGGAACCCACCTCCTCCCCGTATGTATATGTGGATCACATTTTTTTCACCGCTTTCTATGCGGCCAAACAGGCCTCTCTTAATAAATTTGGATTTTAAGATTTAATTTTTAAAGGTGAATATGAAAAAACAAATATATTTTAAAAACTATAAATAATAATTTTAATAAGAAAAAATTTGAACCGTTATTTTTCTTGGTTTCTAGGTGGATCACCTAGATGTGAAATGCCCGTCTAGCCGCATGAAACATTTTTCATATATATATATATAAAAGTGTCCAACAATTATTCTCACAACATTGTCTACCAAGGTCTATAATGTGTGGTTGCAGTTGCAGTCGCCATCGACTGTCCCATCTTTGTATGTTGTTATACGAGGAACCCACTTTTCACAAATTTAATTGCATTTATCTGAATGCACTGACCATTTCACTCAAATATCCTATTGATTGGACAATTGTAAGATGCACCTCCACTCTTTATCATCGCATCGATGTATATCTTTCAAAAATCTAGATCCACTGAATTGATGCTAAATCAATTGAAAAATAAAACCTTTTAGAGCTAGACCATGGTGGCAAGTTTAGCTTGTCAATGGTGTAGTAAACGTGGTGCAAATCACAATTTCAACCATAACTACGACCACAGTTAGACTGCAAAGGTGTAAGAATACATGAATAGAATAGTTCATAAACATTCCAGTTTTTTCATTCAAAAGCCAATCGAGATCACAAGAGGTTGAGGATAGCCAAAGGTATAAGAATCGTTCATAAACACTAGGGGTTGAGGATAGCAGTTTTTTTTAAAATCGATTAGGAGTTAACTTTTTTAAGATATTAATGTAGTGGCGTTAGTGGTGGGAATACAAACAATAATGTGGTGCTTAGGATATGGGTTGCTACCACCACACTACCACCACAACCGCAACCCCTTTCTTGATTGAGGATAAATTTGCAACAACAACATTGCACAATGAAAATTCTAAGATACCAATATTAGCTACAAATTATAATGGAAATTTATACATTGCGACTATTTATTTTTTATTTAAAGAGGTCACATCCCTATTGTAGGGTTGTAAAATAATATAAATAATTTTTTTTATTTTTTATTAATGTAAAATCGGTATAGGGCCTTCTTCCTCGTTGATTTACCCAAAAAAAATAATACAAAGAAGTCGTAGTCATCATTGACCATTATATTTGAAATTGGACGGTTGAGAATGTGTCATTGATTGAGTACAAAGTCAGCAATGCACTTTCATCTATTGGATTTCAAAACTTTATGGCCTCCTTGTACTAACAATAATTGGTCTCATAAAATACAATCCCAATTAAAATAGAAAAAATATAGTTATCTCATTCTACATGACCTAAAGATAATGCATATCCAGAAGTGCACCCATAAATAAACACCTAAACCAAGAGACGATGTATCAATACCATGGAAACATTTCAAAAAAATTGAAAACTTGAGATCAACCCACTCGTTGGCAACTACAGTAAATGCACAATGGCTCAAATTGAATATTTGCTGATTCACGATTGTATTTCATATTTAAATTTTAATCTTTTTTCTACAAATACAATTTATTTAAAAAAATGAGTGTCTACTATTGAAAAATAGTTGAACCAAAAATATTAAATAAATAGATTTCAAAAACTAAATTGATCAAAATGGCCCTAAAAATTAGTGGGTATGTTGATCAATTTTTTTTTATTTAAAATTTTTTAAATATTTTTAGTGGGTGCGCCTTAATGGAGGAGTGATGGACACTCTAAATTCCAAGTGATTTAATTTTTTATAAAAATATGAAATATAAGCGTGCTTGTCTGATTGGTCATCATAGAGGAATAAAAATATGAAATTTTTATAAAAATAATAGATATATATATAAACTAACAAAACAAAATGATAAACAAGGATCACGGTCTTTTTATGTGATCCTTCTCTATCAACTTCAGTTGAAACTCTTGATTTGCTTGCGATGCTAATGAACAAAATGTAGGCTTAAAATTATTTGAATAAAAACAAGGGTGCGGTTTGTATAGAGCCGAGGCTGTAAACGATCAAATTAGAGCCCATATTCAAATAGTGTCGAGAATTATAGTTTCAATATTGAAAAGTTTTATTATAGCCTTAAATTATATTTTCATATTTAGTTATAAATTTTAAAGCTTAAAAAATAGTATAGATCGACCATATATATGAAAATCTTGAAAATTGACTGTTCATAAATGCTTTACAAGATGCAATATTTCCAAAACTCGAAATCTATTTTTTTTTCATGTCCATACATCTTGATGTCGAGATGATCAATTTAATGATATTTGGGCATCAAAACAACTTCTTCTAGTAAAGTTTGGAGGTAGGCTCTAATTTGATTGTTTAGAGCCCAGGCTCTATATGAACTTTTCCCTAAAAATAAGGGAACGGTTTCTATACTTCCCCTACAACATAGATGATCTATGCTTCCCCTACCATCCAGCCGTCCAATTTTGATCAAGTGAGTCACTCACCATTTGATCTTAGATTCGATGTCTCAGAGTATTTTAGTTTTATTTTTTTTATAAATATGAAATTTGGTACGTACCATCTTCTCATTGGGGCGCACCTACAAAAATATTAAAAATAATTTTTCGATAAAATATAATGACCAAAATAAACCCTTTGAATATTTCAGGGATATTTTGGTCATTTTATTTTATAGAAAATATTTCCTTTATATTTTTAAAAATGTGATTTTAATAGAGGATTGGACCCCCAAATTTTGGTTTCAAAATATTTTATATAAAAAAAATTAAAAATATAATAGTGTAGAGATGTGACATTATGATTAGGGCAATCTTAACCCTCCATTCAAAATTGACGGTTGGATAAAGGGAAGCATATACGTTTTATGTTGTAGAGGAAGCATAGAAAGCTTGTCATAACTAACAAGAGGAGAAACGAGGATCACATAGTGGTCCTTTTATGTGATCCTTCTCTATCAACTTCAGTCGAAACTCTTGATTTGCTCGCGACGCTCATGAGCAAAATGTAGGTTTAAATTATTTGAATAAATACAAGGGTTCAATTACATTCAAATAATATCGAGAAATATGGTTTTAATACTGGAAAGTTTTGTTATAGCCTTAAATTATAGGAAAAAGTTTATATAAGGTTGCAATCTTCAAATGTAGAAATACTGATGCACCTCAAGAATCCATCAGAAAATGTTATTTTAATGTTGAAAAACCCTCTAATTGATCATCTCGATATCCAGAAATATTATTCGAAAAAAAAAAAAATTTTGCATATCAGAAATAGTGCATCTTGCAACACAATATGTAGACCGTCTATTTTCAAGATTTTCATATGTTTACATATTTACTTGATTTTAATCATTTTTGGATTTTAAATGTTTATAGTAAGATATGAAAATAGATTTTGAGATAATCCTAACAATTTTGTACACCAAAATTAGATGTTATGATAAAGTTTGGAGATGCGCTGTAATTGGATTGTTTAAGGTCGCAACTTTATAGAAACCACACTGTAAATTGTATTATTATATTTAGTTATAAAGTTTAAAGATTAAAAAACAGTGTAGATCGAGCATATATAAAAAAATCTTGGAACTAGACAGTTAAAAAATGCTTTACAAGAAGATGCAGTATTTTCAAAACTCAAAATTCATTTTTTTCTCATGTTCATGCATCTTGATGTTGCGATGATGAATTTGATGATATTTGGGCATCAAAACAACCTTTTATAGTAAAAGTTTTGAGGTAGGTTATAATAGAGCCAAGAAACTTTCCCCTAAAAACAATACCTTTCCCCTAAAAACAATACCTTTGTGCTTTGTAAAACTTTTGAATTTTACGTAGAAGGAGAGGAAAAAAGGAGAGGTAAAAGTATAAGGTTGACACCTTATACAAACTTCAACCTAACAAGAAAGTAGGTTAATTTACGAATTACGACAGAAACAAGTTTACGATGCGAGTTGGGACCCGTGGGATATATAATTATACCATTGACCGCACTTGAACATCGCACGGCACGCCCAGCTATTTCCATGGTGTTCGCTTTATTACCTCAATGGCAATTGCGCTCTCTCTCTTTCCAAGTTGTCACTCCTCCCCCACCCCCGCTTTCCCTCTTTCATCAATGTTATTCCCTCCCTCTTTCTCGCATTTTATACAGCCGACAGCTATTAGTAGCAGGGCAGGGTTTAGGGTTTAGGATTCGATTGTTTTTCATCAGACGTAAAATGGCGTCCCTTTATTCCTCTGGCCATGAAGGTGTTGATTCCATGGCGGAGACATACACCGAATACCAGGGTAACGTTCCTTTCTCACCTTTGATGTCATCCCGTTAATTCATGGCTGTTACTCCTCTTGCATTTGTTCTTCTGGTTATAACCATGCGTGCCTAGTGCATCCTTTCTTGAGTATTGTCGTGGGCTTCCATATACTGAAATTTACGTTGATTGGGCGGGTCCAGTGTGATGTGATTATCAACCTCCAGAGAACTGAGTGCTCACTATCCATCATTTTGCTCTTTCTTAACACCATGAACACTCTGCACTTCTAGAGCATGGAAAAATTGTGACAATTATTACCTGCCTTCATTTGTTGATACTTAGACAAATATGCATTTGTATAGTTTTAATGGAAGCATTGGGGTCTTCACAGCGGAGGCATTAGGGAATTGTGCAGATCGCCCCCTGGTTATCGAGTTCACAATCAGAAAGGAAATTTTCTAGCAAAATTTTAATCCATTGTTAGAAGATGGCCTTGGACCTTAGCTGATGCAAGGTATCCTAACTCGGCCGATTCCTGTAGAGGGCCATAAAGCCCTTGAATTAGAAAAAACTCACAAAAAAAATATTAAAAGTAAAGTAAAACTAAAAGCAACCTCAAGTCCAAATGTGCTTAAAATTTTTTAGCAAACATGGATTTTAAAATATTGTTTTGTCTTTTGTAGTTTGGGACAATTAACAATAAAAATAAAAATAGGGATTATGGCAAAAAAGTCACTCACCAATCTATGCCAAAAACGTCAAAATCACCAACAAAATGTTATATAATATACCCATTTTTTTACAACTTTTTTTATTTTTTTATTTTTTATATTTTTTCAGGTACCCCTAGTGTCCATAATGCTGCTTTAATCTATTGGCTCTACTATCCAGTCAATTTTAAAATTCTGTTGTGTATGTATGGAAATTATTATGATTAACTCTGATAGTTGCAAATAGTTTTAGTCATACAAAACTTAGCTGCATTTTGTTTACATTTCTGATATTTGAATCCTGCATTTCTTATTCAGATTCTTTTTGCACTTTGAATTGCTTGTTGATTATTCTTATTTTTTTTATAAAACAATTAACATATCAGAAACAGAGTCATGGATCACTGGAAAACGTCCTAAATAGTGGATTAGAATGAGAAGACATTGTGGTACAACTGTACAAGGCTCTTTGTTTCATTCATGTGCCTTATGATTAAAATCTGATTCTTTAAACCATCCTACTGAGAAAAGGAATCTTTGGTATTGTGGCAATGATTTATATAAAACCATTTTAACCCTTTCTCTTTCATGTTTCAGTTAAACACCCCTGTTCATGCTCTTGCTAGTGTCAGAAAAATCTGTTATAAATTTAATTTAATTTTTGAGCAGAAATTATATCTTTGAGTGATTCTCCTGGAAAGATGAAGGCATCATTGGCCGCTCTTTCAGCTAATGCTTATTCTCAAGGTCTCACTGGGTATGTTTGTCCTAATCATTTGGTTTAATTAAATTCTGGTTATGCCTTATCTCAGAGTTTGGGGAGTCACCTTCTGCTCTTCATATGGAGTTCATTCTGATTTATTTAGGAGTTGCGTAAGTTGCAATTTTTGTACTTGTTTTTGTTACCTAGTTAGCCAATGGTACTTGCAAACTTCTGGGAAACTGTGCAACGGGAGATATTTGTTTTTCCTTTATTCTTATGGCCATGATTTAAAAACATGAAGCTCAATTCGAACTACATTTTGTCACACCATTTTCACCGAAAGAATTGAAGTCCAAATAATAATACACACATGTGGAATACATGCATGGACAAATTCAGTATAACATTATAAATTATTAATAATAAGCAGTAAAATAGAGTTTTTGCTGCCCACTGAGCTCTCTTTCAAACACACTTGGCTGAAGCCAATGGGCAGCAGACTCTCTAGCCGAAGAAGGGGTCTCTTGCCCAAACTTTATAATTATTACGCAGCAACATTCTCCACTGAATTTTCTGATTTTCTTTTTCTGTTTCGGCATTGAACGCATGTTGGTGCGTATATATGTAACTGGTCAATTTCATATGAAAAAAAAAAAGCAGTAAATATTATGTTATATATGGCATTGTCCAATAAGGCTATAACTTAATAGACATGCTCACACGCTTGAATGCACATAGTGAAGATGTATTACCGTGCTACTCAAATTATTGGGAAATCTTATAACTTGCTCCTTTTTTTTCTTTGAAAAGATGCAAATATTCCTGTGTGCGAAAAATCAAGTAATGGAATGACATGACAATTAGATTTGACTAGTCAAGGAGTTGTACTTTGACTAGTAATGGAATTTCGTTGTTATCTTTTATTTCAAGTCCCTTATATGAATCATTCTCAATTCATTTTAATTTACTATACCATGAAATGACAAGACAATTAGATTTGACTAGTCAATGAGTTGTACTTTTATTTGCATGCTTAAAATTAACCACCTTGACTCTTATTGTGAGAAATTGGAATATTCATAAGATTATTTATGTATTGAGTTTTCCTTTTTAATTTCTAATTGCTTGTTCTTTATAGAATTACAGCTCTCGATGGACTTCACAGGCTTAAATTGTCTTTGGAATCGAAGGTGAAATCTCCACCTGGAATACCTATTTCAGAGTCTCCTTTATGTGTTTCCTTTCATTACCGGTACCTGGGATTCCTCTCTGTTCTTTTCTTTTGAGAGTATTACTCATGCTTCTATCTTTGCTTCCATTTGGTGTGACACAGTGCTGTTTTAGTGCCATGCGTGTTGCTTGCAGATGCATGTTCTGCACTTCCTATATCCTTTGTGCTTTTTTTGCTACCTGGGATTTCTCTGCTATTGCTGTAGATAGAAAGGAGGGAAGGAAATAGGGTTTGAATTAGGTGTTCTTCACTTCCTATATCCTTTGTGCTTCTTTTGCTGCATGGGAACTCTCTGCTATTGCTGTAGATAGAAAGGAGGGAGGGAAATAGGGTTTGAATTAGGTTATGAGTAGGGGACCACTGCTATAATTATAGAAAGAAGAGAGAGGTGGAGACCACCACCCTCTCCCTAGACAAGCGTAGGGGTTCAGATTCATCTACCACTCTTTACTTTTCCTCACTACTTCCTCTCTGTTGTAACAGAGATCGGAGAGATATGCTTTCTTTATTTTCTGTATGTAATATATATATATATATGGAAGATATTACAAAACACCTATAGGTGAAAATGAACAGTGATTTCGCCTACCTTAATAACCGTTCAAAGTTCATCGCACGATCACCATTGTCCAGTAGTGTTTAATTTTTCATTTTTTTTCTACAAATCGGAATGACCTGAAATTTGGAGTATGTGTTCATCAAAAATAGGTCAACCTATGAAAAATATCAAAAAAAATATTTTACATGAAAAAATTGATCAAAATACCCCTAAAAAATTACAGGGTATTTTGGTCATTTTTTTTTTCTCGAATTATTTCTTTCATATTTTTATTAGGTGTGCCTCACTAAGATGTACACACGCTCCAAATTTCACGTCATTCCGATTTGTAAAAAAAAAAAATTGAAAAATGAAACATTACCGGACAATCGTGGCCGTACTATGAACTTTGGACGGTGATGAGGGTAGGCGAAATCACTGTTCATTTTCGCCTATAGGAGTTGGGAAGACTTTTCCTATATATATATATATATATCACTAAGATGTACACACGCTCCAAATTTAGGTCATTCCGATTTGTAGAAAAAAAATGAAAAATGAAACACTACCAGACAATTGTGGCCGTGCGATGAACTTTGGAAGGTGATGAGGGTAGGCGAAATCACTGTTCATTTTCGCATATAGGAAAAGTCTTTCCAACGACTATAGGCGAGTCGAAACGACTCGGTCGACTTTTTGAACTCTGTTAAAATAGCTATTAGTATTAATTTGTGTTGCATGCTAAAATAGTTCTCTAACTCAATTATGAGCATCTTATCTTTCAATGATATTATATCTTTGGATAAAGATGCAATTATTAGTTTTAGTAAAAAGTTTCTTAAATGTGCTTCCTAACTACTCATGCTACCCTAACAATTATAGGAAGGAGATATTTTAGAAAGAGAAATATGCTTAAATAACAGAAATATTCTTAAATAAGCAAAACTATAGGAATGAGATTTTAGAGAGGAACATAAATTATAGGAAGGAAATTGTAGAGAGAGATTCAAATATCTTTCTTAAAGATCTTAAGTCCCTATATCCTGGGAATCCATCTACCCTACCAAAATTCTTCTCTTTAAAGGTTATGTAACTCATATCCTCTCCATGCATAGAATTAGCTTTATTCATTCGACACATGTCCATCTCTTAACTCTAGCTTAACAATGCAGTATAGATATAACAAATAGAATAAGACCAAATCTATTCTCATGTTCTTCCTCTTCTGCCGTTGTTGCCCCTACCGGTTTTTACTTTTGGCATTGTGTTTTGTTTTGACTTTAGGATTCAAGATTTTTACAAATAACATTAGAAAAAAGAACGATTCCAGAAAATTTTGCCACATTTTCTGAATGAAAGAGAGTTACTAACATTACATATTGATGTTGCAGCCATTCAATGTACAGCAGTTTTCCTGGTTCTATAGGTTTGTCTTTTTCATGTGTCGAGTAAGTGGCCAGAGGAGCATGCGTGAGTATTTAGAAGCAGATTGCTTCTCTTATTTTATTGTGTACTTCTTCCATCTTGTCATTCTTCTAGTTGTAGAAATTTGGCACACTACTTGACTGGTTTGTGCAGCATGGCTATTTTTTTCTTGAAATTGATGTAATGCTTTGTGATTTAGTAATGTTGTCCATTTCTGTGTTGTTGTCATTTTGTTACAGTCGTGAGCACTGCTGTTGAGGCCTGGAGATTGGTCTTGGCAGGAAAATTTCAACTGCTTGATCAGTGGTGTAGCTTTATAAAGGTATGCTCTATTCTAAGATCTTTGAATTATAATCATGGATTTTAGTAATGTATTCTTTCCGCATTTCACGTTAGTAGGTTAAAGAAATTATTTGGTTACAAATTATAAAAGAAGGATAGGTTAGCTTGTTTGTGTTTTTTGGTAAACTTCAAGGTTTCGGACCCTTGACCTCCCCAACCCAAATTGATATGTCTACCAATGGGCTGAAGCCTAAGAGACAAAATAGGCAAAGGTTAGCTTGTTTGGGATTTTTGAGACAAACTTCAAGAGTTTGAGCTCTTGACCTCCCTCAACCAAATTAATATATCTACCACTGAGATGCTACCATTTCTATGCTTATAATTGTTAGCATCTCATGAGAAAATGGATCTTTTTCGGTTGTAAGATTCAAGTATTTTAGTGTATTGGAGCAAAGTTTTAAATTGCTAGTATCTTTTTGAAATCTGGGTTACAGTATTTTAGCATAAAATCAACTTAGAATCACTATATGTTCACTTTTTATGTTTATTTATTTATTTATTTTTGTTGCTGTTGTTGACAAAATCCCGTTGACTGCTAATTTGGAAGATATAGCAAACAGGGGTTGGTATCTTTTTCTCCTTTCTTTTTTTCTTTTATAGCTAAAAGACGATGGGGAAAGACTACTTATTATATTAGCTTGTCACACCTAAAGAAATTTCTAGATGAAATTGAGCACCTTGTCCCCTGACGTGACCTTGAGTCAGATGTGAGTGGCTAGGCAATCTTCTATCCATGCTCAAGCAATCTCCTCTGAGGCAAGGGCCTTTAATAGATTGCCCCGAAAATTGGCATTTTATTCTGGGGTTTTGTTGGTTTTCACCATTTTGGTCATTTTCAAAGGGGTGGGAAAAGTTTGGGTTTTTAGATAACCACGTCCTACCTCCCTGCCCCAGCAATTTGTTTGCCACTTGTAAAGAAACTTTGTTTGTTTGTCGGAGTTACAGTTTCATGATTGCTGTTTCTCTCATTGTATTGAATCTTGTTAGTTTTATTTGAAATTGGTTGAATCATGGTGGTTGCCTTTTAGATGGTTTTCTTGTATAGCGCACTAAATACATAATAGTTTTACAAATAGAGGTAATATATTACGTATTAAGTAGATATTACATACAGCATATTTATACATGCAGCATTAAACATTATACTTCGACAGTGCTTCTCTTGTTATCTTATTTTGTTCTGATTTAGGATTATTTGATAATAATTGGATCACATGATTCCTAGACTGGAACTACATTTTCTTCTCTTTTTCTTTTGGCAACTGGGAATGTAAACTGCAAAAGAATGCCTACTCAAAAGAAGCAACTTGTGTCTAAGCAAGTTACATGAATTGAACTGATATAAAGGGCCTCTTTTTTTGAACTCATAATTGTGTGACATGCTATTGATATAAGTTACTTCTTTCTTTGTAGGAACATCATCGCTATAATATTTCTGAAGATACTTGGGAGCAAGTTTTAAATTTCAGCATAGTTGTGAATGGGGATCTCAGTAATTATGATTCAGAAGGTACAGGTGAATTACTCTTATGATTTCATTGTCGAGGAGTTGAATTTGAGGGTGGGTAGAGAAGTGGTCTTGATGGGAATAATGTCCCAGGATCCTAACCCCTTTTCCATATCTGTATTTCCTTTTTCAATGGTTGCAGCACTTGCGCAACATGCATGTGCATTCTAGTGATCATCAATAAATGTTAATTGGCAAAAGGTACTTAGTTTTCTGATTCAAAAGAGAAAAAAATACTGCAGTTTTCCTCTTAATTGTTTGTTGGATCTGCGAAGTTGTGAGAAATTCATAGGCAGGATCCCAAGATTGATGCTTTGATGTATAGACCAACTGTTAATGAAGGATTAGTATGGAGTCGCTAAAGTTTTCATTTTCTGTTCTCTGTTCTCTTTATCAATATGAAATGTACATGGCTTAGAGACCTTATAAATTCAACTGTCTTTTAGGTTCTTGGCCTGTCCTAATCGATGAATTCGTCGACCATATTACGAGGTATGATAACTCCGATTTCCTCGATGGTTCAAATGTTATATATTTCTGGTTTCAAAATGTCCTGCTTTAATAAATCTGTGCATTCACTATTTACTTTGTCAGAAAACTGTGTTCATTCCTCATTTTCATGAATAAGGTCTCTGCAGTCCATTGACTTCATTATCTACTATAAATAAGTTTAAGCCAGTAGCTGCTTTTGGGGCTGATGATACAAGGTTATCATGTCTTGACTCCTGCGCATCAAAAAACTGATACTCTGCTACCTTGAGCATCGGTGTGAAAATATTCAGGTTGGAATATATCATGGAGCAGTGGATGCCTTCTCAAGGTCCTCAGCCACATGCCTCATACACGAGGCTAGATTACTGTGAGCATTCATGATGTATGTCGTGTGGTACACAAGCCATCTATCTTGTATTTTAGGTGTTGAAATTGCTACGCGCCACATATCTTTAAAATGAATACCAAGTTGATGCATGATGACTTCAACCGTTAATTGAGGTATCTTGTTTCCTTCAGTTGAATTATATAGTCTCATTTTATCGACTGCTCTCTGTGGATTATTGAGAAGATGTTCTGGGTATCTTCAAGTAGGAGCCAGTCCCTTGAGATGCTTCTGAATTCAATTCAATTAGTATGTTTGGTCTAGGAGCAAAGAGGACCATGGAGGACAAGCTGGTGAGGTGCTGGGCCCTGTTGAAGCGTTACTCTGTTAAATGTTTATTGTCTTTGCGCCATAAATTGTTCATGTCAAGATTTCTCGAGGATTTTAGGGCATCTAAGTTGTTAGTCTTCCCAGGCCATGCAGTTTGGGGCAATAGATTTTCCATGACATTAGTTGATATTGCGCAAATGGGGCCAGAGTGCATTATCTTTGCTGTGGGCTTTTCCCATGATCAGGAAGTCTTCAGATCCCCTTTGAGGTTCTCTGTCCCCTCTGCAAGTAGTCTTCGATTCATCCACAGTGGTGAATTCTGAAACAATATCTTCTTTCTTATCTGTGCACATTATCAAAATCTATCCATGAAAAGAACGAAATGTGACAGCTGCTCTTTGGGAAATCAAGGACCAGCCGGGGTTGGAGGCCTTTTCAGAGCCCAGTTCGGCTCCATCTATCTCCAAATCCATAGGATTTTCTGATAGTACTACAGCTGAGGCCAGTGCTTTCCTCGAGTGTCTAAGGGCATATAGGCCTGAGTGGGACAACCAAATAGCTATTGACGGAGACTTCAAAACTATTATCTCATGGGCTTTGGGCTCTGCCACTTGCCCTTGGTGGCTGGCCACATTTTTGATAAGATCTTCAACATCATAAGCCAGGTTCTTGTTTCCTGGACCCACATTTGGTGAGAAGCTAATTCCCTGGCTGACACCTTGGTGAAAGAGGGAGCAGCATCGTCTTCTGGGAGTGGGTCTCACTGACTTTTTTGTACACAATGGTCTTCTGGATCTTTGCCACAACAAGAATGTATACAGTTTGTTTTCTATCTAACTCACCATCTTGGTGACATATGGCCCTGTTAAGGGGTTATTTTTTGTATACCTATTCCTCTCTGTTAATACAAGTCAACATTTCTCAAAAGTACGAAATGTATGTTAGATAAGTAGAAGTATCAGATCATCTGAAATCAACATTACCATGGGCATGAAGTTGAATAGGAGATGATGAAGAAAAGAGAAGTGAATAATCCAGACTCGTATGTATGACAATCATATGCAGGCAGCATGATTTCAACACAAATTGGTTTACACTATGTTAATGCAAGTATATCAGGACATGCTAGAGAAGCATACAAAAGGTCCAAGTTGTCTTTGATAAAGATTGAGATCCTCAACTAAATCTTCAATACCCTTACAATATCTAGCATTTAACTCTATGGGGATATCACTTATTTCAAGGCATGAGTAGTCATTTCTCATTCCAATGTATGATAACGACTCTGTAAAATATTAAATGTCCACCTGTCCATCACCATGACGTCTTTCTAAGTATGTTGCATGGAGTAGACCTTAGGGGGGCGATGGGCCACATGGCCCGGCCCTGCCAGGCCCTAAAAATTAGGGACTGGGCCATAAAATGTAGCCCGAGGACTGGGCCAGGCTGGGCCACAACAGGGCTGGGTTGGCCCTGATTTTTCTTTAGTTTTTTATTCTACATTTTCTTTGAGTGTATTAGGGCCGGGCTGGGTCTTGGCCATGGCCTCTTTGGCCCCATCATGGCCAGGCTAGGCTAGGGCGAAGGCTGGCCCAGCCCAGGCCCGGCATGTTGCCAGCACTAATACATCTATCCAGATGCATGCATGGTTTTATGTATGTTTGCATGTATGTATCCACGTGTTTGTAGACGTGTATTGATGAATAATATTATCCTCTTTCTTCAAAAAGGAATAAAAGCTGTACTATCCTCCCAGGTTCTTTTCCCTTCATGTGTTTTTTTGCCTATTGGCAACTGAAATCCGTAGGCATAGTCATTGGCTCCTGATTCTGGTTACTTTATCCGCATGACTGCAGGAACGCAGCAGCGATCAGTTCACATGTTGTTTCCTCTGATCCAGGAAGTGCTAATCCTCACATGGAAAATTCTACAATCTACAGTAAGTTCATTGGAGTGTTAAGGGAGGTTCCTCCTTTTTTATGGATTGGTAGATCCTCTAAGGATTATTGTACATAATTAGTTTGTTGTAATTTAATTGATTGATATAGGAGAGACTATCCCTGTTACATGCAAAAAGAGAGGGTTATCTCTAGAAGAAGAAGATGGCCAAGTGGAATCTGTGAATTGCATAGCTCAGAGACTAGCCAATATGCCAAGCCCTTTGTACTCCAAACGCATTCGCTCCAGTTACTACATGCTGGAATCTGGTGAATCCATGGACATGATTTGATTTTCCATGGCTACTGTGGAGGTTCAATTAGTTTATTTAATTTTGAAGATTATCTTCAATTCATAAGATTTTCTTTTATCATAAGTAGAAGATGCTTGTATTCTTGTGCAATAAACATCTCTCGAAATTTGTCGGCATGGAAGGCAGGCCCTGGAACAGAATAATGCATGATGTAAACTTTTACGCAAATGTTTATTTGTTTCTTTAACTTTTGCAAATGATAAGTAAGTGACATAATGCAAATTGTTGAAGCAATGATGTATTGTTATGACCTTGTCAGAGCATGGATGTGCCCATGTATCATTTGATATGTAGGACGGTGTTGCTCAGATTGGCAAGCATGGCATTTCCTAACATGCTGCATAGAAAGCTCATTCTTCTGATAGTTTTCCTAAATGCTCGAGTTTCTTCGAGGTGCACTGAGTGGGCCCCACTAGGCAGCTGTGAAGTCCCTGACTTCTTCAGAAAACACCAATTCTATTGAGAGGTGTTCATATCATTAGAACAAAAAACTGCCGTGAATTCTTTTTTTCTTTTTTCTTTTCAAGATCTTATAGCTTTGATGAATGCTATAGTTAGAAGGAGGCGTCACTAAGGTGGTTTCCAAGGCAGCCATGGAGTCCATTGACTTCTTCAAGAATGCCAATTCTCTTGGGAGGTGTTCATATTAGTCAAACGAAAAACTACAGGCTTTTTTTTTTTCAAGATCTTATAGCTTTGATGAATGCTATCGTTGGAAGGAGATATTGGTACGATGGTTCTTCAATTTATTTTGTATTCTTCTTCAATTTTTTTGTTCTTTGTTTTGTGTACCAAAATTTGTGTTTTTCAAGATCAAACATGCCCATGTGAGTGGTCTGTTGAAAGTGGACACACCCATTGGGGATAATGTATGCCTTAATGAAATAAATCTGTTTGGAGATTGTCCTGTAGACTGGTTAACTTCGCACCCTGCATGCACAAAAAGTTCACTTCAGCACATATTGATTGTTTGGTCGTCACGTTCTTAGTGACATTGATATGCCTTTGAGAGATGAACTATTTAGCATCTTACATATATTGTTTGATTTAATTTTAAAATACTCATCAACGAGACACATGATCGTGAGTTGGAATAGTTGCAAGTGTGTAAAATGTTAAACAGTATTTCTCTCATAGGTGTTTTGATAGAGTTTCCATTGTTCAATTCCTTTTTTTGGGATAAAATGGACTTGTATTAAGTAAGAGTATACTTTTACAATTTGCAGAACACTATGATTGTGTAAAAGATTTACAAAACATCGGCCTCAAAAAAGTAGCCCAGTAAGGAGAAAACTCAGGTGACTTGAAGAATGGCTATATGCATGGTTAATAATGAGGCTCGCATTGAGGGCATCTTGTTTCACTAGGCCGTTTGCAATGTTGTTGGCCTAGTGCTATGTGTGGTTGAATAGATATATTGAGTCAGTGATTGAGAAAATCTCCTCAAAAATATGATTTGACATGGATGTCCCAGTCCTCCTTTGTCAATTCTTTCTAATAACACGTTTTTTTAGTTTTTATTTTGAACGCAATCAATTTTCATGCAGGGGCATGTTCATATCTATTGTATTACTATAATTCTAATAGAAGAAGAAGAAGAAGAGCAATAAGAAACAGCAAACAGTTGATCGTTCTGGCTTTTTCGAGCATATAGGGGCACTCAATCATCTGGATCTTTGTTTTCTAGCCCTGCAATCACTTAGTGTTTGACATCTGTGATTGCTACCCTTGTGTTTCATGTGAGAGCTGAACATACTTAGGACATGGGAAGTAAATATAAAAAAGAGTGAAAAAGAAAGAAAGAAAGAAAGAAAGAAAAGAGAGATACATTAAATGGTTTTTGGTTTTAGGTTTTAGAGGTAGGAATAGCGGTCATATTATGGAATTATGAGGGGCTTAAATGAGAAACCAGAATGGTTGAGGACTCTGCTTGGAAATAAGGTCATGGTGCTGTGTTTATTTTTCCCATATAGGTTTAAATTGAAAAGGGACTTGCTGCTTTAAGTCTCAGACGGAGTACCACGTCTATGAGTTTCTGCAGAAGAAAAGTACTTGGTATGCATTGCAATTGCTTCAAGGTACTCTTAAGGTGTTCATTCTCAACCCTTAACTTTCTCCATTTGTTCTTGCATTTTCACTTGAATGAATTCCAAAGCATCTCTAGTGCATGAATTATCACAAGATTAGGCTTCTCACCAGTCCCATTACTTGATAGATCCATCTTACAGCTGAAATGATGAAAACCATTTTTCAAATGGTCAATGTCCTTTTCAAATGGTCCTCCCTTCTCTGAGAGCATGAACATCATGCTAGTAATGACCTGGCAACTGTGTAAATTACTCCAAGACAAAAATGCCATGGTGGTCTGGAAGTTAAGGTACAATGAAAACTTATTTACAAGATATTTTGGTGCCTTGCAATGTGATAGAGATCCAGTGTCTTTAAATGTTATCAGTGCCAATCTCTGTCGCCCTGCCCCTTCATGGAATAATTAAACAATCCCAATCGCTCTCCCATTGTCTTTGGAATGCAGAGAAGTTGAGGTGGAGATCGATTTGCTTCCAATTGTTACAATGTGGATACACATTCTCAAGTTCCAATAGTGAGCATGTTTTTTCAGCACTAAGCATATGCGAGATGCCTTTCATTCTTTTTTTTTCTTTTCATTTTTTTTGTCCCCTCTTTGAGTTAATTTAAGCAAGCATTGCCACTTCCAAAAAGATGAGGAAGGAGCACAAGGACAGCAACGGCACTCACCACCCTGAAATACCCAATTTAATGCTAACACGTCGCATTACCCTGGCCAGGGAAAGGGCCCTGCTTCCATTTAATTTGAGTGTTCAATGATCTCTGAAAAGGATTTTCAAGAAAAAAACCATTCTTTCATTCATCCAGGGACTCGCTGGTCATGGACTCTCTCTCTCAATTATTTCTATTATGATTACAACTGGAAACATTATTGCTACTGCTACTCCTGTCATTATAATGCTCCCAAACCCATTATCTCTACTAGCTCTAACGTTCAAGAAGAGAAAAAAACCAGGACATGACGACTTGAAACTATATGGTGAGGCTCTGCTGCCTCTGGCCTCACCTGACCACTTCTTTAAAAGGGTGGTCAATTCAACCAGAAAGGGAGTTTCAGGTCCAATACTATGTGGGCTATTACCATTTGAGAGTTGAGCTCGTAAGTTATATTTGAGGCCAGTACGACAATTCCGGTGTCCTGGTTTCGCCGACTCCTATCAGGAAGGCTCTGGTCTTAGTTTTTGGGTTAAAGCAGGATTTGTGCAAAATGTGCAGCAAAAAAGTTTTTGGGCAAAAGCATTGGGCTTTAACTTTTGAAAAAACTGTACCTTACACCAATGAAGTAAATTGTGCAGCATCCACCCATCTGTTCCAGTAATGGACAGTGAATCTGTCCTCAGGAACTATAGTCAATGCCCACCTTTCATAATGAGAAAAACAACAGCAACACGTTCATGGGGTATCATCATATACCCTACATCATTGGTGCATGATGTACCTTCTTCCCGAGTTATAAGGAGTCCATCTCCACTACTGAAACTTGTATCTTTGAAAGATGGTGGCTGAGAAAGAGAAATGGATGCCAAATCATCATCAGGTTCACAGTATGCTTTATAATTTTTCCGAGCAATGGTCAATTTATATAAGAGATGGTGGACTCGAGGTGGGTGAATTGGATGGGATTCACTTTGGGTAGATCGTAACATAATGAGAGGCAGTCCCATCGTCAATTTCATCACTATGATGATATCGCATATGAGGCCGAGGCTGAGAACTAATGATCATGTGACAAGTGTGCCACAAATCCACAATTGATCAATCCTTGGAATGTCCAGTCTCCCGCTTTTAAGTTCCATTGAGCTCTAAGATTTGAACTAATATTAGCGAAAAATCAAATAGTAGTTGGGGTGTGTCTTTTTTATATTTAATGATTAGAGGTGATTATGACTCTTTTGTACCAAAGGTCTCCTTCCAAATAATCAAATCACCATTCCCGTTTGTTGCGAGGAGCACAAGCAACTCGAACGTAAGCTGGCCATACACAGTATGTGATTGTATTTTTTGGAACGTGGATTCTTAAGTGTACTTCCATCACTCTATATCTATGTTATTAATAGGAGCATACAGTGAATTGCAACATTGTATTTATTTATTTATAGGAGAATGCAGTCAATTTTGGCTCCAAGTAGATCACTAATGATGCTGAGGATTGGATCTTTATTAGATTAATGGTTTCGCAATCATCCCAAATCCGCAACTCATGATCCATCCCTTGAATTGGCATATATCACTAGAGTGACTGTCACCATTTTAACCACCTTCTCAGACTAGATAATTCTAGGCATAAAGCTACTATTTTTATTTCAAGGGAATATGTTTTTAGCGATCATACAATAATAAGTATATATGGACTTCAAACTTTTGTATAGAAAAGGTCACAGATACCCTAAGCTGGTGCAATGTAAAATCAGATGGTATATTTGAGACAACTTTTCTATCTTTTATTGTGGTTAATAGTGCACAACCACCTCCTCAATTTCGCATATGAAAACTAGAGGTGATTGTGACTTTTTTATATCAAAGATAAACATACACCTTCTGTGATTTCCGTATTAACTTAGGACCATCGTTATGGTCATCACCATCCATTAATAGGTTGGAGGGTCTTAATGGGATTGGTCACACTTAAAAAAAACATGTTACTCGAAAACTGCAAGTCTCCTTCCATGTTTCTCCAAATTTTGACACAGTAGAATTTCATGAGCGTGCAAGCATGACATCTTTTTTATTGTTTTGGGTAATTTAGTGGAGAAGACAAACCCTACCCTTTTTTAAAGTAAATTAGGAGATAGCTTTTTTTTATTGTTTTGGGTAATTTAGTGGAGAAGACAAACCCTACCCTTTTTTAAAGTAAATTAGGAGATAGCTTTTTTTTTTAATGTGTTTCAGGGTGGTGTTAGAGATGGAAATGAAAACCTTATGAGCACCTAAGCATGGTATCTTTTTTATTGTTTTGGGTAATTTAGTAGGGAAGACAAACCCTACACGTTTTTTTAAGTAGATTAGGAATTAGCTCTTTTTAATGTGTTTTAGGGTGGTGTTAGAGATGAGAATGAAAACCACAACGCGGTGATTAGGGTGTGAGGGTGCTACCACCACAACCCTAACCCCTTTCCCACATAAGCATGGCATCATATTAGGTATACAACATATTTAGGTACACTTCTATAGGCGTAATACACACTCATGAGCACGTGTACTATGCTCCATCGGGAGTATATATTTACTCCCTTGGGCAAAACACTAGCTTAAGAGGTTTTTTTTTTTTTTGAAGTTTTGTGATCCATCTAATTAATTATAAGGGAAATTATCGCAAATATACCTTAATTTAAGATTAATTGGAAAAAACCCTCAAAACTTTCGTTTATCTCGTTTACACAATTTTTCCTCATTTGTGGCTTTTTTTTGACCAAAATGACGACTACCGTAATACATATCATTTTATACGGTATTTAAAATACCATAGTAACTTCAAATAATATTATGGTACTTTAAGTACCGTAAAACTCTGGCCATACCGTGAAGCCAATTACGGTATTTAAGTACTGTAAAAACTAAAACCCATTATACGACATTTTAAGAACCGTAAAAACTAACCCATCTTATACGGCACTTAAAATGCTGTAAGTCTTTTTCTCATCCTGTTTATATTTATCTCTTTCATCTCTAATTTTCTCTTCTTTCTTCTAATTCTCTTTAATATTTATCTCTTATTTCTCTCTCTACAATCTCATCATCATTTCCTTGGATAGATCATGTCCTCTATTTTGCATATGACTCTCTCTAAGGAAACGATGATGAGATTGTAGAGAGAGAAATAAGA